TTTTTTTTTTCAGGTCTGATTTTCGCTATTGCATAAATAGCGCTAGCTACTGCGAGGATCGTGCATCATACGTATCTAATACCGCAGTTCAAAATATATGAACTTTATATATTCATTGTATCGGCTACGGTTGTGTTTAACTTTGTACATTAAAGTGCATATATCCTTTTATCTTTTTTATCCTTTTATCTATAACTTTTATCCTTTGTGTTTTCTACTAGATATTGTTTCAGGAACTTGAAAAAGTGGATATTTTATTTGTTTTCCCCTGATTGCAGCTTCCACAATCGATTGTTCAGTCAAAACGCAGGGAAGTCGAAGATGCAAACCCGTGGTACTAGTTTACCTGTCATGGCTTTTCGGCCGAGCAAACGTCGTCGGGAGACTGAGTACGATTTATAGTAATCAGCAGAGGTACAGCGGATACTTTTCCACCCGTCTGTGTTTTATTTATGACACACGTAGTTTTATCCATATCTGTGAGCTCGCCACGTTTGACTACCGTGCCTTAAGTATGTTAATTTCTAAATACAGATCACAGTTGAACAAGGGATATTGCTAAACCAACTAAATGAAAGATTTCAAATATGATGACAAGATCTCGATCCGCCGATGCTGCTAAGAGAAGCACTAGTTCTTTGGGAAACGAGGAAATAATTGAACGAAACAGCGACCATGTAGACTTTCGCTCAACGACGAACGGTATAGACAAAAAGACAACTGGCGAAAAAAACATGAAAGCTCATCAGGCAAGTCTTAAGGGTGACCAAGGAAATATAGCCGTTCTTACATTTCTGTATATTCTTCAAGGAATTCCTCTTGGGCTGGCCGGTGCCATGCCAATGCTGCTTCAAACACGTAAGGTCGCCTATAAAGATCAAGCCACGTTTAGCTTCGTATTTTGGCCTTTTAGCATGAAGTTGTTGTGGGCGCCTATCGTAGACACTGTTTACTTTTCGCGATTTGGCCGAAGAAAATCATGGCTAGTTCCTGTGCAATACTTGTTAGGAATTTTTATGCTTGTGCTTTCAAAGGTAAGTTGCTTTTTTATTGTACACGCGTTCATGCAAATATGTAATTATATGCTTAGTCATTCTGCTGTACAGAAGTTTGTCTCAAACTTTGCTTATTGATTTTTCATCATAAATATAATTCAATTTGTGATGAAACCAAAGGATCATCTTGCCCCCTTACTGACGAAGGTGTATTGTTGTACTCAAGGAATTTGTCTTTTCATCGAAAATTATATTTAATTTTTTTATCACCGAATTTGAGATTTACCAATTTGCTAATTCTAGCACTTAGTATTCAGGATGTATGTCACATATAAACGAAGTTATGGCCTGACTCACCGTAGAGTTTTCTGTAGCTCAGTGGTATCATCCTCAAAGTGTGGAAGCCAAAGATTACAGATTCAATTCCTTAGAATTTTTTTTCTTTTCCCATGCTCATATCAAGACAAAAAACATATTGGCAAGATTTCCACTCACCCTCTTACCTCATTATGCATACATTTCCTGGATAAAGAAAACATTGGCAGAACCAATACATTCCCCTTGAGTTTTGTCCTTTACAACGTGAGAGAGCAAGATAGGGAGTCTGAGTCCAGTACGCTTCTTTGAACACAAACTTTAATTACTTGAGAGGCAGGTTACCTTTAGAGCTAACGATATAGCAACAACACAACAACGACTTAACTTATCTCAATGTTCACTCGTGTAACTCGAGAACTAGATTGGAATTTCTAGATTGGATTATTACATAATCAGTCCAGAAAGTTACATATCATCCGAGGGTTACATAGCCTTTAAGAGTTACATAAGAAAGATCAGCTGATCGACATTCAAGAATGGTCTTATTGAAGAAAAAGCAAATGTTGACTTCTGGAAGGTTCTACATATCATAACACCTTAATTGGGACTACAGTTTGGGTTTACACTGAAATTTTTCTAACATCCATCTATATTTCGTTACCAAGTCCAAAATATACTTTTTCTCATATACTACACATAGTACTGATACATACTTCAGTGTTCACTGTTTGTTTTTTTTGTTTTTTTTGTTTTTTTTTTTTCAGCACATAAACAAACTGTTGGGTGAAAGTGATGAAGAAGGGCCCAGTATTGTCTTTCTAACAGGGATCTTCTTTTGTCTCAATTTCCTTGCTGCAACTCAAGATATAGCTGTTGATGGTTGGGCACTGACAATGTTGTCCAGAGAAAATGTTGGCTGGGCATCAACTTGCAACACAGTTGGGCAAACTGCAGGATTCTTTATGGGAAATGTTGTATTCTTAGCTCTTAGTTCTGCAGACTTCAGTAACAGATATCTTAGAACACAACCATCATCTGATGGAGTTGTCACCTTTTCAGGATTTTTTTATTTTTGGGGAATTGTTTTTTTAATCACCACAACATTAGTTGGGTTGCTGAAACGAGAAAAGTCAGAACAAGAACTCCATGGAGAAGAGTCTGTGGAAGGAGTAGTAGATGGGTACAAGACATTGGGAAAAATATTGCGCTGTCCCAGTATTTTGAGTTTGATTGTCATCTTGCTCACATTTAAGGTAATATTTATTAACTTGGTGTTCACGTTCTAGGGTTGTCACTTGAGGCCGTGAGGCAGCACAAACTTGCTGGCTGTCAGACCATTTTTACTTTGTAAATTGTGACAAAAGCTAGTAAATAGATATATTTTTTAATTGATTTTAACACAAGTATCTGCTTAAAAAATGTCACTCAAATCATGGCTCTACACCAAGGGTAGCCAACTAGCCACAGACTACTAGAAATTCAGTTTTAGCCAGTGGTTTTACATTACAACTAGCCAGTTTAGCTAGTAAACATACTGAAATTGTTGTAACATCCAAGTTGTCTTTAGCCACTTGGCTAGTAAGTTGAAAAGGTAGTGTCAAGCCCTGCAAATATGTCCTAAAATGCAAGAAATTGACTGGCTTGGAGAATATCACTTTTCAAATTTTATGGTAACTGAGCATGCCCCAGGACCTCTCCAGAACTTGCAAAACACCTTGCTTGCACAGCATTACTCAATGCTGCCACCTACTTAGCTCAGGTCATATACATTTTCTAATGACAACTGTGTTTACTCTTACAGTGGAACCCCATAATTTGTGCCCTGGAAAATGTTCCCTCTTTTATTTTTTTGATATGCAACATTTGATAGATTTGATTTTTTGCATAGTTTATGGTTACAAAGTATGTTTTTGAAGTAAAAATCCATACTGCTCTATCATTTTTTTCCAGAGAAATAGGAAGGGCCATTGTTCTTTTTTTGTGTGTGTGTTGTTGCTGTTGTTGTTGTTGTTGTTTTTGTTATTCTATCTTTAAACCATTACTTATAATATTTGTTAGGGGAGCCCATTATGTGAAAGCCCTGTGGCTTCTCAAGTTAAGGATTAGGAATAAGTTAGCAGGTTCCCTAATTGTACAAAGAAAATGCTTGACTTGAATTCATGCGTAAATGCTTGATATTCAGGTTGGCTTTTCTGCAGCAGATTCTGTGACTGGTCTCAAGTTGATTGAAGCAGGAGTTCCTAAGGAGAATCTGGCTCTCCTTGCTATTCCCATGGTCCCCATACAGATTTTGCTGCCTCTTTATATCAGCAGATATACTGCAGGTTGGTATATATGCATGTGACTCTTCAAAAACAATGTTCAGATGACATGACAAATACGTTACCACACGATACTTGACTGCATATATGTCCATTAATGTACTAGCAGTTTGCTTGTGTACAGTTTTCATTTCTTCCAGGTGCTTTTTTCACTACCACTTATTAGTAGTTTTCATTACTGTGAAGATTGCTTTGATATTCATGTATTCACCGTCAGTTTTCATTGTATTGAGAAAGATCTCAAAACTTGTAAAAAATTCATATAAAAAGCTGAAGGAAAACATGCCCTCTAAGAAAAACTACCTTCAAATTTCTTCTTACAATATCACCTGTGAATCACACATTAAGATCAGGGAAAAAAATATGATCACCAACTAAAAATGCTCAAGAAGTTGTTTCTTAAACAAATTCACCTTGCCTGCACCTCAGCCAGGAAATGCATAGAGAACAGTATGGATGATATGCATGCCGATGTTAGAATGTAAAGGTTTAAGGATACTTTCTTAAGGGGAGGTGGGTGGGATCTGAAATTGTTATGCTCTTTCTTTAGTAAGAATCTCTGTTCCTCCTCGTAGGTCCGCGTCCTCTTGATTTGGGTCTCAAGGCATTTCCATACAGACTGTTCATGGGTGTGGTAATCATGATGTGTGTCTGGTGGGCTAATGTTGTGCGTGGACCTGGGGAGGAATTTTTTCCATTACACTTTTACATAGTAATTCTGCTGGTGTATGCAATCCATCAGGTACTGTATTATTTGTTTTTAAGATTTTTCCTGAATAATTTCAAGGAACTGTTGATCATCAGTGATGCAGATTAAAAAAAAAAAGTGTCATCTTTTGAGACAATCTCACGTGCTATACATTAAAGAAAAATTTTGAATGTTTGTGTAAATAAGTAGTGGTTGTGAAAGTCTGCAGTGGTATACAGAAGTAAATTTTGACCAGGAATGAACTTTAATTGTTTTGCCTTTTTTTTTTTTTGTTTTTTTTTTTTTTTTTGGTTAGCTACTCATCAACACAGGTTGTGACTTACATAATACATGTAAGCTGAGATTTTGAGCGTTAGCCCTTCGTCAACCTTCGTTAGCCCTTCGTTAGCCCATTCGCTCTGCCGAAGAAGCAACGCTGGAACGTCAGCATTAAAAAAACTCTTCACCGAGGCCAATTTACATCATCAACTCAGTTGATGAAATCAAATTATTTTGTAACAACCCCACCCCCTACCGACTAGGCAACACAGTTTATTCAGAAACTTATGTGTACCCTTTTTACTAATATTTCTATATGTCGTATGATTACAATAATTTTTTGACGTCTTTTTGTTATTTAAAACTGATGAGCCATAACATTGTGTTCTAAATTGTTGTCGCTTTTCCTTGAACTGGCAACAGGTGGCATTGTATTGCATGTTCGTTTCCTTCATGGCTTTCCACGCCCAGATTAGTGACCCGCGGGTTGGTGGGACTTACCTGACTCTTCTTAACACAGTTACTAACCTGGGAGGAAACTGGTGTCAGACTCTAGCGTTGTGGCTGGTGGATGGACTTACCTGGACAAACTGTATCGATGCTGCTGTGCCTGGACTCCACTGCAGCAGCAAGACCAGTGCAAAGGTGTGGAGAAATATTCCACAAATATTTTTTGTTTAAGCGACATTTTGTGGTATCGTGCTTTCTACCAACAAGTTTGAAGTACTATGCGGTACTTGAAGCAACTGTGAAAGCTTCGGCAATGTAAATAATTGTTAGAAACATTTAAAATCAGATTCACTTTTCCAGACATACAGTTCAGCTGTGTAGCATTTGTTTGCCTCACTTTTTGGAATGCGAGCAAATATACCAAAAGTATGGTGTCCTATGATTGTACGAATCTTTCCCAATATAAATAGCTACTTGCATGAGACAGGTTTATACTTCAGCCTCTTGCCAATTTTAAGGGGGGAGAGGGAGAGTGAATGATCGTGCCTCATACGCAATGAACAGCACGCAAGAATTAGTATGGTCAGTGTTTTGTTTTGTTCTTCCTCTTTTTTTAGGATTGTACGAATGCTGGGGGTGTTTGTCAAACTGTGATTGACGGATATTATGTGGAATCCATCGTCTGTGTCGTCATTGGTATTGTATGGTTGAGGTGGAAAGGTCAGAAGACAAGGTCTCTACAAGATTTACCCGAATCCGCTTGGCGATATCAGTAAAACAAGAAAAAATAAGCTGTGTGTAAAATAACTTACGTTACCGCACTGCGCTCTCTATTCAAGAATATAACAGTTTTCGCAAGTACGGGGTGTTTTCGATAAATAACGGAAGCTAACAAAGAAATAGCAAGTTTGAGATACATACGTAGTAACAGTTAAAATCGTGAACAACATTAGTATAGCAGACCATTTATTTCAAACTTCTTTGTTAGATGAGGCTCTACTGAAACTTAAGAGAAAAGGCAGAAGGTGTTTAATGTTACCATTATCAAAATGTAAAACGAACAATGCTGCATTTAATTGTCAATTCAATGCGATAACAATCATGTATGCACGGGGGCACATCCCATTTTGCTCTGTCAATGGTAGTGGTCAAATCTGGGCACTCTCTTCACACGATTTCCAAACTTATTCCAATTGAAAATTTCATGAGCTTATGTGGAAAGCATTTGAAAAGCATATGAAAAATGTTGCACCTTCTAAGGAGTGTTTTATGTGCTTTTCTTGTCCTGTTTCCAAGGACTAAACGTCCAAAAAAGTCGAAATAACAGTTTTCTGTGACTTACGCCGAACGCCCCGGAATAACTACCCGGTCTTCCTCTGCAGCGCTCGAGTAAATGTTAATGTATTCGTTAAAAATAATATGTAAACCTTGTAATACGGTCATTACGAATTTAAAGCAACTACTAATCTTGAAAATGATGAGCGGTTTAATACACCACTAAACAACATACTGTGGTCAAGGTACTATAGCAGATATGCGTTTGGTACCATTCTCTTGTGCAAACCATTTTTGGCCATTTTACATGCTCCAAGCAATGTATTTCTACAAGATCATTGACCGAATAGTTAAACATAGTATAAATTGCGTTTCTTTATAAATGAATCATTTGAAGTGAATAAATTACTTTCCTGCGTAAACTAAGAGCCATCTTTATGAAAAAAGGTCAACGTTTCCATGTAGATAAAAAGCTTTTCTGAAAATAAAGATAGTTTAGAACTCGTTTGTTTTTGCTTAGCAACGCGAAACTTCGTTTGAGTTAATTATATCTCAATATACTGTACATACATAGCAGTGCTGTACCTTATTCACTTACAGCTGTAAAATGCTGTTATCACCATGTCTATCTTTCGTTAAAACATTTCTTCAGAACGATCTAAACGATGAATTAAATCAGTTAGACTTCAACGAGTGGCGTCCCACATAACTGAATGGGAAAAACTTTAGTTTTATAATGATAAGGATGAAAACTTCCTCTATGTGTCCTTCGGTTTAGTACGTTTTAGCTCAATGGAAACACTTGTATCATCTAAAGTAAATCGTCTAATAAGGAAAATATTCCAAATATAGAAATAAAATTCGTTCGTTATCGACAAACTACGCCTCCAACGTGTGTTGTTTGGGTTGTGCTAACCAGCTTGGCAGAAGCGAAAGTCCATATCTGAGCAACTACGCACCCACCCTTACCCCCCCCCCCACAAGCCGGAACCCTGCTGCTTATGTCTTATCCAGAGCAGAACACTTTCCTGCTTTTCATTTTCTTTTCAGATTTCCGTCTTTCCCTCTTAATGTTGCGATGGTTTGTTCAGCAAACCTTGAATGCGAAAATTCGTGACTGGCGTAGGCGTTTTCAGTTCCGTCAATTGACGAACTCTTGACCACTATAACGTTTCCTAATTCCAACACAGACACTGACTTGGAATTTATGACCTCATGTGCAAACAAACTCAGAGATTATGACCCTAACTCAAACTTACAGTGTCTCTATGGAAGATTTCTCTACGCAAGCTTTTTCTTCCCCAATTTTATTATCCTAATCAAAACATCAGCGAAAAGATAAAAAAGTAATCTAATTAAAAAGAAGATTAAAACGGGATTTAAAAAAAATTATCAATCAAAAACCGAATTAAATAAAAAACAATCAATCAAGAAGCGAAAAGATAAAAAGTAATCTAATTCAAAAGAAGATTAAAACAAACAAGATTAAAAAAAATTATCAATCAAGAACCGAATTAAAAAAATTATCAATCAAGAACCGAATTATAAAAAAAATAAAGATAGGTGGTGCACAAGCGCTCCGAAAATAAAGCATATGTTCATGTTATTCCATAACATATCAGTTTGCCCAGTATATGATATCCTTCTTCTTTTCTGGCGTCTGTGTCTCCGAACCTTAACTGCGACACTGGAAGGTGAGTTTTGTGAGTTAGAAATCCGCTGTCCTCTCTCCAAACAGCATCATCCGCATCGCAGTTGCAGCCGCTGTCTGACCTTGCACAGTTTCCTGCTACCCCGCATGCGCAGTAGCCGTCCTTGTTGGTGGCTCCACCCCAATATTTCATCCTCACGCCATCACGTGAAACCCACCAACTCTTGTCCCTTTTAAAGAGCTTAGCACCGTGACATTCATAGCTGATGAACTGTTCACAATAAGAAGATGCTTCTGTTAGATCAGAAAGCTGCGAAAGACTGGCACCTAAGTACGAGATATTTCGCGAATAACATCCGGATTGTTTGCAACCATTTACATGGGTTCTGTTTTCAGAATCATGACTGACAACTGTCACTCCAACGCCTCCTTTGTCTGTCATATTGCAATACACACCGAATGGGTCCTTGCCTTGAGAACCATCTGGATCAATGACGTAATCACCACTGACGTCACTTATGTTTGCCCGTACGCGACTACACGTGTCAGGATACGTTATGTGGAGAGTTAATAGTAATACTGTATCTGATTGGTCATTTACATTTTCCACAACGCAGGTGTAATTTCCACTGTGGTTAAAATTGGCAGAAGTTATTTTCAAAACTAAAGAGCCTTCGATTAAAATTCCATCAGGAAGCACGAGAGAGTTCTGGTGCATCCAGAACACGCTGGAATTCCCGCGAGCTGGCACAGGGCAGAAAATGTCTTTGTTTTGTCCAACATATAGCGAAAGTGACGTTTGATTTATGAAGTCTGGAACTGGAACGACGGTGAAAGTTGAAGCAATGCTTGACATCTGAGGTGTTGCTTCTAAAGCTACGGAAGAAAGTCAACAACATTTGAGTGAAAATGTATTGGTCTTCTGACGCAGATATTAAATAGACCAGATAATAAAAAGACAAACGTGGACGTTACCAATTGTACGAGAGGATCTGTCATTGTCCAAAATTGAGCTCTGTAATGCTAATATAAACGAAGAGAAATTAGAGATGCGAACATTTTGAAGACTAGACGCAGAATTCTGAAAATTTGAAAGAGATCAACACTGAAAGAATCAGAAATCTTACCAGATGCCCAAATCGCACTACTTTGGTCAGTTGAACTTGGCAATAGTTTAGTTTAGTTTAGTTTAATTGAATTCGTCAAACACTAACAGTTAACAAAAAATGAACGAAAAAAAATAGATAGTTGAATGACAGGTAAGAATAACAGAACATAAGTCCCAATTGACAATTTTTACCTTCAAAAAATAAAATATAAACTTAAATTCCTAAAATACAATGTAAATATCTATGGAGGACGGCATAGAGAAAGATCATTGTAATCATCGTTGTCATCGGTATCATTTTCATCAAAATGATTTATTATTAGGATTTTACCGCATTCTATTAAAATATTCCTCTTTCACGGAGGAAAACGATTAATTTATTCATTCAAAGTCAGATTATGATGATAATGATCAAAACCTTTCGCTAAATTAATTTTTTGGAACAGTTCAAGCAAAAACTAAGTACTGACAACCTATTTTAAAATCAAGAGAATGGAAAGTAGCTAGCTAGCGCTATGTGTAAGAAAATGAAAAGGTCAGTTTTATTACCACTACGTGATGTTGCGCTTAGCGGCTTGGATATGGAACTCGTTGGCTGGGATATGATGCTTGTCGCCTGGGATATGGTACTCGTCGGCTTGGACATGGTACTCATTCCCTTTCTTTTAGTTGAACTTGGAAACTCTGCAAGGAGAATGTGTTAAAGAAAGCTGCTCTTTACAGTTTATAGAACTAGTCATTTGAAACGGTTTTAACTAGTTTCTTGGCTAAGTATTGATTACCCTATAGTTATACTTATCTAGCTAACCAATCATAGTGATAGATATAACGAAAAGCGAGGATCCATTTTACAGACCACGGAAGATAAGTAGTTGGCCTGTCCTGAGTAATGAATTAGCTGTAGAATTCAATTCATATTTCTATTTTTAACTGCTATCGTTAAACCCAAAACTGATACATGCATGTCACAACAATTATATGATCAGGCAGAACAAATAAACTAAAGGAAACAAACATAAAAGAGAACAATAAACAAACAGTCCAACAAACAAATAATCCAAAACAAAAAGCAATCCACCGAAAAACATCAAACAACAAAAAGTCCAAAAACAAACAAACCACCAAACAAACAATCCAACAAGACGTTCAACCAACAAACAATACAAACAAAACAAACAACAACAACAAAAAGAATCCAAAAGACTAACGATACGACAAAGAAACAGACGAAGAAACATTTCAAGAATTCAACAAATAAAGAATCCAACAAGCAAACAATCCAACAAACTAACAGGAAAACACGAAAAGGTGTCAAGGGATCTCCTTTTTTTCATTTTTATTGTTACAGATACCTTGAGAATTCGCTCTATTACTCAAACAACGGTATCCTTCATCCGTAAATCCATTTTGACATAAGGCATTTGGAGAACACGGATTCTTTATGCAGGCGTTCTATAATTTAAGCAAACAGAAACACTATTAGTCTAAGAATATTTTTTCAAGTTGCCTATTTTAACGTGAGTGTACAAGTCTTTAAAAAACCTTGATTTCAGTCTCCCCTTGTCAAGATCTTACGGTATTGATTCGAACTGATACAAAAAAAAAACCTCAACTTTCTCAAACGAATTCTTTATCAGACATACGTCTCGTCTTCTCGCATTTTCGGATGGGAAATGATTGAAAGAATTATATCAAAAACTCTGTTACAAACTGCAGAGATTTGAGCTTAATTTTCAAACTGCTCTACTACGAGCAGACAAAACCATCAGCATCAAGCACACACGAGCCAACTTTTGTTTTTGGTAAGAGATGCCATGTGAAATAACGGCAAACTGAGGTTCCATCAGTGACGGCCTCAGTGATACTAGCCTTGAAAAAAGGCTGATAGTTTCTAAAGAAACTGTTTGGGGCTGCGTCGGTGGGGGTAATGAAATAATTTGGATACATCAACAAAGTTGAAATGGTGAATTGGCCACCGTAACGATTACAAAAGCTGACGTTTCGAGCGTTAGCCCTTCGTCGGAGCGAATTGAGGAATTGTGGGTTGTGTGTACTTTTAAAGGCAGAAAATTGAGCTACGTTACTGGTGGGAACATGGCAACGAGAAAAACACGAATAAATTAGTGGAATGAAAAGCGTTCGTTGATCCCTGTGGGATTTAGACTGCCGGTTTGAAACATGAGCCTTGACTGAGTCAATTTATGATGAAGTTTTTCTCCCTTAGGGTCTGTTTTCGCCCGGATCAACATCCCACGGGTAACCAAAGATTATCTTTTAATATAGAGTGATGGGGTGGGGCCAGGAACTTTCCAAATTGGGTAAGCTCTGCAGTATGTACCACATAACACAAGAGTTCACTTTTTCTTATGAAGTGGTTCTGAGCACAAAAAAAAGAATTCCTTTGTGTCGACCTTAGAGTTAAAATTACACATTGAACTAACCTCAGTTGCATGGTATGTGAATCCATATTTAGGCTTTAGCGCTTCGGAATGCATCTCATGATCAGAATCACTCAATTCACACAGGTAAGTTCCGCTTCCGTCCAAGAGGCCAGTATTGAAAGACATACAGTTGTGTTCCACGAAACACCTCGCCGTACAATCGATTTCTCTCTTTAACTCAAAGCTCTTGAGCACGTGACCTTGCAGGGAATATCCCTGAACAACAGGCTTGTATTTCAAGATACGACAGTTATCTGCCAATAAGAGAACATGAAAATAGCTTGGAAAACAAAAAAAGAGTTTACCAGGTAATCTTTTTCTATCCGAAAACTATGAATAAATATAGAGGCAAAAATAAAAGACCAAGAAATATTACGAGAACAAATCTTTCTGCAAAGAACTATAAATCTTCAACATCGAACAAATTTCTTGCATGTATGAGACCATGTCATCGATTTAGCATGCGCGCTTGACTCGTGTATCACTAGAATTCTCAGCAAGAAAATTGCGTAGGTTTGTTTCAAAAATTTGGAAAATCTGAAATTGTAAAAAAAATCAAAATCTTCTATTATAGATTTTTATTTTTAAATCTATTGAATCTATTGAATCTACTTAAATCTATTGAAGATTTTGATTTTTGTCACATAATTAAATATCAACTGTTTGTAGTTACGAGACCCGTGTGGTAGATTCACCATGTTTGAATTGTTGTTTGCTAGAATTTTACAACCAGATAATTGCTTAGCTTTCTGTAGAAATTCTGAAAATTGTACGATTTCAAAACACTGAACAACAGTTTTGGGAAATATCGACAGTTGAAAAGAATGATTACTGTTCTTATGAAGAGTCCTATAGCGTAGTCCAAACGAGTACAAGAACGATGGCAACACAACGGTTCTTTAATACGTCTCATAAAAGCCCGCCATTACTAGGCGTAAAACAACAACAACGACATCCGGGATACCCTTTCATTCTACTGCGCATGCCCGAAGGGCCTATGACATCACAGCATCGTTACAAGTCCCCAACGTTTCAAAGCCGTAATTGGAATCAGATAGCTCAGTTTTGTTTCCAGCCGTAATTCGGATCGAGTTTGGGGTTTAAGTATTGTCAACTCCAAAACTAATTTCGTCCCTTGACAGAGTTACATACGAATTGTTTTTTCGAAACGAGTATTTTTTACCATATTGCATTTTCATTATGAGCTCCAAAAGATCTTTCTCGATTGGGATAGAAAGGGAAAAAATAAAGAACGTTTTGAACCTTGCGGCTTCAGCCGAAGTGAAATTTCACACGTCATAGAATGGATGCACGGCCGTGCAGTACATAAGGGTTTTTACCATGGTAACTCCTAAGGAAATAAGTAGGGCTTGCCCACGTGCTATGTTATAGTACTGGATTGTAACAAAAAGTTATTTGCTTCCTATTGTATTCTTCATGTATGCCACCCACTTCGCAAAGCGTACTGTTTACTTGTTCAACCTTAAATAAGATGATGCATAACAGCTCCAACAGCGTTCTTCATTTCACAAAACATCACCGTAATCATTAAGAACTTGCTTAAGTCACTTCTCTTCAACTTAAAGATTCATTTGATGTGACATGCACTTCATAAACCCCCATGTTTCGTCATTTATAATTAAACATGATCGATGGTTAACTTCACTCTCTCAGTTCATTCTTCTCCATTTTGTTTTTATTCCCTTCATAACAATTGCAACGCAAGTTGTTGAGAAATCCAAGCGTAATATAATTGTGTCGCCTTTCAGTCTGTGTCATGCTGTTCAAACAAATGGATTTACCGAAACTTAAAACAGAGGCAGCTATCTTTGTTATATTTATTCCAATATTGCGTGCTAAATAGATTTCAGAAGAAGCAGGCACTTACATAACTCGTTGTTTCGTGCACCACGCAAGCTGGAGGAGATTAAAAGCGCCGTCCAAGTTTGACATTTTGAAAGCAGGGTAAATGTCTAACGTATTAAAATTCGATTGATTGTGTACTTTTCTTGCTCGAAAGGCTTCCACAGAAAGAGTTGCATAAGAGAGCTTGGGCCCGTTGAAGTACTACTACATGGCTTTATTATTATTTTTTTTTTCTTACTTTATTTAAACTCTGGTGTCTCTCTAACATTTCCATTAAAAAAAGTTGTTCTTGTTTTGTTTTCACTCGCAATTTCTTTCAAGGGGCACATGATTGTTGTCACCTCAAAGCGATAAGGGCGCTCGCTGGTGTTAGACATTACACAAAACTAAATAAAAACATTATTACAATAAATAGCTGATATCAAACCTGCCTGTGCCCAAGTCCACGAATAAATGACGCAGATACAAAGTTCTAGAACTGAAAGGAGCTTCGACATATTCAGTCAGAAACCAGCGCAGTACTAACAGTTTAAGCAACAACTTTTAGTCCTCGACTTGTTTCAAAGAAATTACTTCTAAATATTTAATTCAATATGTTTTTCTTATCAAAGAACTGTTGCTACATCCTAAACAATAGGTTTAAAAGATGGGCTCTTATGATTACTTCTTGACCAAGTTGTTGAAAAATTCTACGTGCAGGTGCAAGGATACCCATGATCGATTTTATAGAATTGTTTTAATCTCCGAATCAGAAAAAAAGAGTAGGAAAAAAAACTAGACAAGGGAAGGTTATCAAACATTGTTTAGATTTTTCTCTCTCGTGGTACACCAATAAACCGCGAGGAAAGCATAGAAACCTTTCTTAGAGTTGTCGTTAACAGTGTTATGGTCTGTTAGACAGTGTATCAAATGTTTGCCAAAACATTTTGGTCAAAATCTGCTGGACGCAAGGGTATTAGAGTGAGAAATATCAGCTTAATATTTATTTTGTCCTACTTTGTCTCAATCGTTTGAAAATAGATCATGAAATCATTCGGAAATTGCAGATTCGCTACTTTTTTATTAGCTTTTAATGTGAAGATAAATGCAACTCAAATCATTGACTGGAGTGGATATTATTTCATTCCATGGCTCTCTCTTTTGGTGGCAACATCTTGATTGCGACTTAGTTGTCAAGGTAACGGAATTAAGTCTATGAATGGCCTTAAGTCAACAATTTATCGTTATTACTATTGATATTTTTTTAATGATTTTATTAAACATTGTAATACTGGTAATAACAATAGTAACACTCCGAATCTGCATTAATCACTATTCGCTAATAATATTGGTTAAGTAATTCATTATTATGAATACAGTGACACTAATTTTTATAAATAAAATGATTGATATCATCATCATTATTATTATTATGTTTATTTTTATCAGTTTCTAAATAGTAAGGTTACATTTGCATTCTAAACACGAGAGGTAATGAGTGAAATACTCTTAACTATTCTATACAAATTCTTCTGAAGCGTCGTGGTACTTTACTACTTTTAAGAACGCACAGTTCAGTTTTTGAATTTCTTAGCCGAAAGGAAAACGTAACAGTTGTAAATTCAAAGAAATTCGCCCATCTTAAGCAACTTCTAATTAGCTGTCATAAAGCCAGAATCGTAGCAACCAAACTGCATAACAATGATTAACATCATCATTAGTTAATGAGGACGCAAGTAACAAGGTCACGATAATAGTTCATTTATCACTTGATTGGTCGAGAGGATGATGCGTGTTTTCTTAACAAAGACAGGTCTAATAAGAGCAGAAATAAAGCAATTCTGCAAAACTTCTGACACTTGAGAATCGCTCCTGTTAGTAGACTGGGAAATCCTTCATAACTTTTTCGTCATTGGAGCATAAGAGGACGAAACAAATTATCTTGATAACGTGATTACTTAATACATTACCTTAGCTAATTTTTCAATCCAGTTAAATCATCTTCCTTGATGATTTACAATAATCGCGAGTCATGTAAATGTTAAAATGATCAAAACGCCCCGCCTATTTCATTCGCATTGGCTTGTTTCCCATAGCAACCAAAAAACCCACACTACACTGTCACAGCATCGTCAAGGAAAGCCATTTATGCCGGTAATGTTAACAGTACTGCAAGATATGAGATGATTATCCCAACCACCTAAAAAAGAACAAATATATACTTGACCAAAGAATATTTCAGTAAAACGATATTTGACGAGAGAGAAGCCCAAATTGATTATAACGCATAGAAGTCGGGAGCGCGGTAGTTCAAAACTTAATTACCGAAATTACAGGTTCATGTTTTGGTCTATTTCGTTTACAAACGAATACGGGTAAGCTACTGACTATACTCACTATATATCACGGAATAGAAAGGGTGTAACGTAGCTAGTTAGATTGCAGCATTTGAAATAGTAGATCCATGCCAGTTAGTGATAGTAGTTTAATTTGATGGATACTCTAATAATAGCAATGGAAAACTCTGCCATATTCAGTAATTGTTGTTAGCGGTTAGCCGTTGTCTGTTTTTTTATTATTATTTTTTTTTTAATCTTTTTACTTTTTTTTTTTTATTGAATTTAATTTCAGCGAACATACCGAAAGAAGAAGTGATTTGTTTATCACCACCAGTCCTCCCACGGACATCCCGATTGGCTCTCCACGAAGATGCATCAAGAAATGAAGCAACTGAACCACAAAATGATGTTACATGAGCAAATGACACTAGTTTGAACGTAGAAGAGATCTTTGATCTAGGACTTTTTTCATTATTACAATTATTTGATTGACCATAACATGTCACATGTAAAAGTTTCAAAGACAATTTCTAAGTCCTAATAAATCCTCCACAGTAACACCTCCCTGAATGAACTTTTATAAAAGGAGGGTAATTTTCTTACCTGGAGGAATAGCAAAACGTCAAAACGTTTTCAACCAAAGGAAACAACATTTTGGTCTCCAGCATTGTTTAAACACAAACAAACATACCTCCAAGTGTTCTTTACAATCAGCGACGACAATCTGCTGTAAGGCGTCATAAATACCATGGATCTAAAAATTAAATAACACTAGAAATCCTTCCTCTTTTGTTATAATGTTTGATACTCACATGCTTGAAACACTAAAACTTATTTTTATTACCTCCTTTCACTCGAATTAACTAAATTATTCCAAGTTGGAAGAGGGAAAATGATTTGAATATCGAAACGGGATCTTCGAACATGATTAAATACTGAGAGAACATGAAGGTAAAACAAAAAAAAAAGTATGTGAGAAGTTACGTTAATAACATTTAAATAGAGACCCATATTCAAAGTAATTAAACCCATAAAATCTCCTGTTTAAATTGTAGAGAAGAATGCATTGTCAGCAGCGTCAGCATGAGCATCATCTATATCATAATTATTATCAGTATCGTCATAATAATACTTATCATTTCAATCCTTTTTCTAGTTACCTTCTCATGAACTCTAATTCCAAACATGAAGATGACTGCTATCTGCGACGACAGGCCCATCCACCAATATAAGAAAGTAAAGAAGAAAATTGTGTCCCTCTCTCTTGAATTGTCGCTTTTCAACAACTGATGAAAATTAAAACATATCAGAGGAATGTGTAGTGACAATATCACAAAAAGATAAGGCGAGAAGACCTTGTCGGCGAACGAAACTGTCTTGCATAATTTTACGTGCTCTTTTCTCAAGGATCCAATGTCGGGAAAGTTGTGAACCTGCGATATCACTTTCTTTTGGAAACCATCAATCATTCCCGATACGAGCGAGCAAGATATTCCGAATAAGAAAATTGGTAAGGTCCATGCAAAGCTGTTGTAGAAATTGATCAGCACATGTAAGAGGCGCATTGTTAACCGTCCATTCCATGGTCTAAAACGTGCAATCGAATTGTCTTCGAAGAAGGTAAGAAGCGCGATACTTGTAGTGTTTGTAAGCGCCGCGAAACATGTCAGAGCCAAAAAAGCATTTAATTTCCATTTGCTCAAACCGCTGAAATCACCCGAGTCTGCTGTTTCTAAAAAAAAACTGATAAATCTTAAAAAACGAGAACGCCTTTTACGAGTTATCGGCAAAGCAAAGAGACAAGTAATGTTTACTCCAACGCTTTGCAAATACCAAACACCAAATAACAATAAAGTATAAGTATTCTTCATCTCATCAAATCCTTCGTACACTAGACTGGCAACAGCTTGCGCAAGAATCGTTATTTGACCCAACAACACCATCCCACAGTAAATACGTGAAATAAAGTTTGAAGTCGCTGGTGGAGTTTCGCTCAGTGAGGTATCGCCATAGAATTCTCCAGAAAATTTCATTAAATTCAAGATTGGAAGAAGTTTGTTGGACAGTTCTCCACGAAGAATATCGCGATTGTTAGTTAAATTGACACTGCTACCTTCCTTCTTTCCTTCAGTTTCGTTTCGTGAAGAAATCTCTGGTTTTGTAACTCCTTGCATTTGAAGATTGTGTACCTGCGCCATGTTTTGAAAATAACCTCGTACTATTATGAAACCGAGTTTTATCTCACTGAATGGTAGTTAGGCTTTCTTCCTCTACTTTCACCTGTTCGTTCTCACGACGTCCTCAAAAGATTTCGTGGCACGTCAAGCTACAACCCTTGCGTTTACATTAAAACAACTTTCGGCCTCGAAAAAAGAGAAAGTCACCAAAAAAAAAAACTATTCACCGACCTTCTCCAGGAAGGCTTTTATGAAGTAAATTTGTCACATCTCATTATGAAACAAATCTAAATGAAAAAAGTAATATATCATATTTTTAATCATCTGTTAACTTTTATATTGTTAAATGCCACGATTGATCTGTAATAGATGTTACCTAAATTTCAAGGTTATACCCGGCCCCTACCTTCTTTTTTTCTCTTTATTGAATTTGCTATCAATCCAGCAAGAGGAGTCTATGGAACTAGTCGGAATAACGATCATGAAATGAAAATATGGCAACTTAAATTCGCCAGAATGATAAAGTTAATTAATTTAAGTCCCCATGTTTACATTACAAAGGTCCAAATGACCGAAACACTGGAAAGATATATATAATACATCAGGAAATATGAATGATAATGAACTGGAAAAGGGAATAGATAGAATTTAGAGGATGTTTGTCGAAGATAGGATTGGTTACTTCAACTGATTACCTTTGCAAATAGTTTGGCAATAATCAATGTTTTATAGGAAAAGAAGGAGAAAAATTTAACAGGAATGCTTTTGAACCGAAAATTAACCATGCCATCACTACTTATACCAGGTTCTCATGTTAGCATCTTTTTATTTACTTGAATTTGAAGACGAAGAAAAATTTTCCAAATGGAAAATAAAGAAGAGGGAAACAAACAATTCTAACCTGATTTAAATATTTTTATAAAAAAAAATTGCTTATACCAAAAATCCGGAAAATTCTCCTTTACATATCTATTTATTTCAATAATTTCAATGAAATAGACATCTCCTTTTAGAGTTGTCCAGTGAAATGAATTTATGATGACATTTTTTCTTACACGGGCAAATAAAATTGCATATATATTAAAATCATCAAAAACAGCAAATGCGTCACAAGCAAAGAAGCTTCGATCCTTTTTATCATCCATAATGCATTAGGAAACTCCATTTCGACCCCACGTTTCGTCAATATCCATGCTATGGACGGTGGCTGTTCTATACTCTCTAACGTTACCATTCGTCTAACTCGGCAGGGTGAGCAAAACAGCAATATAAGATATGATTATGCCCAGCAGCTGTAAAACAATTACTCAAGATAAACATCAAATATTACTTTCAGGGGACTTTTCTGGGTACTTACAAGAACAATAGAAGCTTTCTAACAAAACATTGACGGATTGTATATTGTTTGGCGAAGTTATAAAGCCTCCCAAATTCATATTGGTCGTAAATAAGACTCATCTTTATGCAAAAAATTGTATTCTAAACTACCGAGAGGGCGAGAAACTTCGTAATCACTACAGATCCTCCAAAGGACATTCCGATAGGGTCTACACGAAGATGCATCAGAAAATGCAACAGCTAAGATTCATTACAAAAAAAAGAAAAGAAAAAGAAAAACCCAAAGAAGTATTCCAAAAGCCTTATCCTGCTCATACTCCTACTTGCAAATTTATTTTCCGCTGTCGCTATCATTATCAAACTCGTCCTCGTCTATTTATTTTTAAAATTAACAACAAAAGCTGCTTTTTGTAAGGCGACGTAATTGACAGGACGTTCTTTGATTCAGAATTTCACTTTTCAAGTTAATCAATACCGATCCTTCTAACTAGCTATGCCTCTGACTTGTCATTCATGAAAAGTACATCAAATTAGTTAATAAGCCTGTTCAAATAAGTTTTTAAGTTGCTGAGCACTTCTGAGTAATATAGACCCGAACTTGTGACCTCAGAAAAGAAGATGTTATAATTGATTCCCCTTTTTAATTATCGTAACACTCTCGATAATACAGCACTCCCCTATCTGGGTAATAGAAAGAAGAATGGTGATTACCTACCTCCAAATGCTCTTTGGTATCCGGGACATTGACATATTGTAAGATGTTATAAAAGTTATGAATCTACAGAGAAAGAAAAACACAGAATTTTGAAATAATTGTCTCATTTTAAAGAGGAAGGGTTTGATATCTGCTTACTATTAAGAGGATATACAGCTCCAACACCACCCAAAAACCACCCGAACAGTACGTTGACTCGGGAATAATTGCTAAAAACATGTGTACATAGAAAGGAGAAATGGACTGAAAAACTTGGCCTCTATGTATGCAAAAATGTGACAGGTATATTGTAATATAGTGACTTCCCTTTTCAAAGGCTCACACACATGGGTATCACAAAAGCACACAATTGGAAACAGCAATGGAGATTCTCACCTTCTCGTTGACTCTGATTCCACAGATCAAGATAAATACTAGCTTTCCAGCTAATAAAATACACTAATACGAAACGCTTATTACAAATGTGATGTCGCTTTTACTAAAAGATGACAGTCGTACTCCCTGATGAACATTAATGCATATCAAAGGAACATCCAGGGAAACTACAAACAGAAGAATTGGGGAAAATACTTTGTCTGCAAGAGCTACTGTTTCACAGAGTTTAAGATGTTCCTGTCTCAATGACTTCATGCTTAATCCTTTGCTGCTCTCTTCTGATATTTTTCTTTCTAAATGTACAGACATTGTGATCAGTACTTCGCATGAGGCAAAGAACAATACCAACGGTAATAGCCACGAAAAGCAATTATATGCTCCAAAAACCAGATGGATCGTGCGATATACAAGAAGCCCATTCCATGGACAAAAACGGGCCACTGAGCTATGTCCATAAAATTCAAGAAGTGCGAGGCAAATAGAGTTGCATGTGCAAAAGATGCCCACAAAAATTAGAGCGAATCTAAGTTTACGCGTATTGACTCCACTCAAATAAGATGATGGTGAGACTAAGTCATTCACAAGTTTTTCAAGGCGAGAAGGCTTTTCTATCCTTTTGGGAAAAACGAAAAGGCATATTGTTGACACTACAGCAGACTTTGCACACCAAAATGCTGAAAGTCAACAAAAAGTAAAATGTTGGAAGTTTTCCAAAACCCTCACAAAAAAGACTTGTGAGAACCTGTATTGCAACGAACCATTGCCCGAGTACCACCATCATACAGTAGAGACGACAAAAGAGGCTTCTTCGATGCGAAAATTATTCGAAAGAAAGGTCCCCATAGCATTCACCAGTGAGCTTCATTAACTTCAAAATTGGAAGAAAGACGTGCGATATTTCTTTGCGACGAAGATCTCGACTGCGGTTCTCTTCATTAGATTTTTCAACCCAATGTTCCTCCCCAAAGCAACATTTGAAAGCACCTCGGTGTTATCTGTGGACATAAACTACAGTTGGATGGCGTTCTCCTCTGATTGCGACATTATTTTATAGTTAGACTGATTTCAGTCGAGGTGGTGGAAAATATCATCGATATTTGCCAGCCTTCTATTTGTAATTAGAACCCCAATTATCAATTAAGATATCAACAACGTAACGATGAAAATAGTTTGCATTTTTAATTAATTGACACCCTAAAAGTATTTCATATTAACATATTTAATTTGCCAATGTTTATAGCGCCTCAAACACGTTTATTTGACACTATCCTTGCCCCCTATAAATTGTCTCTTTCCAGTCCAAAAAATAGCTACTTGTTTTTATTTCATGCAGTGCCGCTTGTAAACAATTGCATTATGCTTAGTAACATTATTCATGCGTACCTGTCATACAGGATAATTTTGACTAACCTGATTAAAGAGAAAAAACCTTTAGTTTTATCGTGGAATTTTGCTGAGCGGACTGATGTAGCTCAGTGTTTTTAAGGTTGTCGATTGTTTAATTCATTTCCAGAAGCTCACACCTTCCAATTGACTGTAAATGCCTTTTGTGTCACTTGCGTCACTTAAGCAATAAGAATGCTTATGATCAATATCAGAACAGTAAAAATTATGCATTTAGAAAATTTACTACGGATGCTATCCCTAATTCACTTAATGCTAATGAGACCGATGTTTAGTTACAGCACACATCAAGCTTGCACGCAATCACACTGTGTTGAGAAAGTTGATTCAGGAGCTTTCCGTAAAAGGGTTAACGGTTAACATGATAGTGTTGTGCATGAATTTGATTCAGTGTCGTACGATACTAAAATTAGTCATGTTAAGGATGCCATGTTATCATAGGGAAGTCAATGAAACAGATATTCTTTTTTTTTTTTAATTGAATTTATTTTTAATCAAATTGCATGGACTAACTCAGCATGGCGTTACTTTGTTTTGTGTATCCTTACTTGAAAATGCAAAGCAGTTAGTCAAAAACAATATGGAATTTGTATTGAGGCCTTAAGTTATTAGTAACAGTAGTTGAATATGCTCACGTCTCCACAAAATTCATTCCTGCGCCTTTTAGCTATGCTAGGGAGCTCAACATGTTGGGACCGAAGCAATATTCTAAATATTAATGGGCTGATCGTTCCCTGAAGTATCTGGGGCTATTTCCAAAAAAGTAATTTCCGAAGGCACAAAGGGCGCTTAGTTACATAGAGAATAAATAATGAGAAAGTGAAATGTTGAAAATTAAAGCAACAAGTACAGAGAAAAAAGGTACCGCGTTCAATAACTAACTAATTAACTATAAGTCGGCTGTGACCAGCTTCAGATCAGAGGGACAGCTTAATGATTTATTTTAAAGCGACCGATCTTTTATTTTTATTCTCTTTGCGTTTTCTTTTTTTCTGTGTGAGCTCAATCTGGGTTCCCCACGGTTAGCTCTCAATTTTCAGTATTATCATGTGAAGTCTCACTTTGAATATATTTAAATTTGCATGACAAAGAAATCAATCTCGAACTCGACATCTCAGCTTGAACCTGCGATTTAAAGATAGCAAGTAGAACTAACCCACACTACAAAGGTTTTTTTTTTTTTTTAATTCTTTGGATTTAGAACATGGTTCCACTCGCAAGCTTGGTGGAAAACATCGTTCTATAATGCTTCTGAAATGCAAACTGTCCCTTGCGAAATTAACCTCACAATGGGAGCGTCTGATGGATGTTTAAAAGAAGATAGCTCTGAACGGCTACCTCGATGCTCTCTAATTAGTACTTTAAGATGCGCTGTACAATCAATGGTCGCCTCATTTACACAAGAAATGGATCATATTGCTCATTCCTTTTAAAACACTACTGACTGAGCTATTGTTCTTAGGTAAACACGAGTAGCGGAAAGGGAGTAAAAGATATTCAATAGATATTTCAGAGATTTGCAGCTGGTGGATTTAAAAATAAAATGAGTTAAACAAGGCGCTAGATGATAAGGCCAAATTGTTGCAAATTTTTTGTCGTTTTGTGGGAAAAAAGGAGAGGAGGGAAAGCATACTTGAATGTCGAGGCCTTTTTGAGAATTTTCATTTGATTTTCTATTCTCTTAGCTTTAAATCATCGACGTTGTTGAAAAAAGGGTTATCGTTTTCAGCCGTTTCGAACTATGCGCATGCTGCAGGTGAATAACGCTCAGCATCAAGATGTGCCTTCCGAACAATCACAAGAAAACGAAACTAGATCGAACGAATCAAGAAATGTGTCAGATAATAACCATTCTCGCCGTAGAGAAATAGCTTGCAAGCTTCGACCCATTTTGAATTTGATGAAACTAACTGGAGAGTGCTCTGAGGATGTCTTGGTGCTGAATGAGATATCTGCAACAGGTTCGCGCCTCTTTTCTCGTTTGTACCGCGGATTAGTAATTCTTGGTCAGTGGTTCGTTGCGGTGCAATGTATTACAACCGTTTTCTTCGAAGGTTTTGAAGAGTTAAAGAGGTTTTATTTTTTGATGATCTTCGTCATTTGGTCTCTACAATCTGCAGCAGTTGCAACGATATGTCTATGTGTTTTCCCAAACAGGCAAACAGAGTCATCCCGTTTTTCGCAGTTTTTAAGCAGCTTGTGCAATGCAGAAAGTAATGAAAGAAGGACAAAGAAGTATAATGGGAACTTGATATTGGCTCTCGTCAGTTTCTTTGCCCTTTTCAACACTCTTTTCTTCATATCTCTAGACCTCATATATGGCTCGGTAGCCTCTTTTCGTCCTTGGAACGGATTCCTGGTTTATCGCTTGATTTTCTATTCGTTTGTTTTTTACAGTAGCTTTTCATGGGCACTGCCATTTTTATTGTTTTACGTATCTTGCGATCTGCTGCTCGGAATATTTGACGATTTGGAGACCAAAGTGAAAGCAGGTGATCCTAATGCTTCTGATATCGGATGGATTCGGCAGGAGCATCGAAAACTTTGTGTGCGAGTTGATCTCGCAAATAGAGTTTTTTCACCTCTTCTTTTGGCGGCAGTGAGTTTAGATGTTCCTCTAATGTGTTTCAACTTTCACCAGCTGTTGAAATCAAACGCATCTACGGGTACAGACCTAACATATCTTGTTTCACTTTTGTATTGGTCTGTTTGTGTGGCCGTAAAGTTAGCCTTTGTTCTACTGGAGGGAGTAAAAGTCAACGAGAAGGTATGATTTTCCTGTCGCCTTATCAACACGTTTTCATCTTTTAGATTTGATTTCTGTTGTCGATATCTCGACATCTGTCCAATCGGAAATTTCTAATGTGCTCAGTTTCATCGCAAAAATTCCTTTTAAAATGCGGTCAGCTAAGCTGAAACTGTGTTTCAGAGAATTCACGCAATTTTACTTAAATTGTCTCCTCGATAAAAAAAAATATATTATGAAGATATACCAAAAAAAACATGTCTAGATTAGCAACTACTGAATTTTTGTGAAGGATCCAACACATTTAACAAAAATGCAATCAGTCAACTTAGATGGCACAGTGTGTCTTCAATTTAAGTGATCCTGGTTTTAGTTTTGCAATATTTGATTTGTTCAATTTGTAAAAAACACCGTAGGAGTTAACTTATCTATCACAACTATATGCAAATTCCTATTCTGAATGAGAGTTTTGTGCGTTTCTGACTCTAGTTGAATAAAATACGAACAAGGCTCTGTATCAATAGGAAGGAAAAACGAGACTTGCTTACGGCACGTTCATATATCCCTAAATATAGTTCCATTTCCTGTTCAAATGCTATAAAATTCATTCGAGATCGTTAACTTTTTTGGTTGTGTTGCGATGTTCAGCTTTTCCGATTTTTATCTTTCTACTCTTTCGTTCAAATACTCACGCCCTGCCAACTTATGATAAGACTGTGATCCAAATTTAAAGCGAGAATTGCCTTAAATGTATAGGCGAGATGTATTTGTAACTTTGGATTTCGTAGTTTTAACTTTCAGTCTGTAGTTGTAGCTTTTACACCAATATCCACATGTTGCCCTCATTCGGAATGGCAATTACTTACAGACCATCGTAGAAGTCGTTGTGAGAAAAGTGAATCGAGGATATAAAATGTTCCTTAGGCCCAGTTTCAACGTTGAAGTATTGAAGTATCAAAAGTTATTCTCGTCGTTTCCTTTTCCCTACAGATTCATAGTTTTTATGACACCTTACAGAGCTTCACTGTTCCAGACTATAAAGGACACTTAGAGGTAAGGAGTACCCGGTGCTTTAGAGATGTTCGATGTTTAGGGAAATCATGTAAGTCACCATGCCAATAAAGGCAAAAAGTGGCGTATAAAGGTTATGAGATTGGCAAAGTTCATGGAACGTGGAATTGATGGATTTCCTTTTACATCCTTCGCGAATCAACGACACGAATTTTTTTTATTTTTTTAATTTTTGTTAATTTTTTTATTTAATTGTTGTTTAACTTTGCCTGCCTAGACTGGGATGAAGAGCAGTGACCATGTTCTCCAAATTTCATCGTAGAACTACAAGATGTCTTTTTAATTTAAATTAATCAGGTGATAATTATTACTACTATTTTTTTCATATTATTATTATTCTATCCGTTTTAGCTTCTACATTTTATGATGCATCTTCGGGGAGAGCCAATCGGAATCTCTATTGGGGGACTGGCTGTGATCGACAAGTCCCTCGCCATCTCGGTATGTCACGTGGTTTCTCCTGGGTCCTCGGTTTTATCTCTGATGTTGTTGTTCAGTTGTTTGCTTTTCCTTTTCTATTTATCCATGAGATAAGTCGAGCTCGAACGCAAACTCATCTCCTTTCATTTCTTTGCAGCTCGTGGGGATAATGATTTCGTACTTCACAGTATTGATAACATTGCCAAGTTGAAGCAGAGATACGGCATAACCACACTTCGTGAAGAAGATGAATATTTCATTTCCATGTTTTAGTGCTGTTGTTTTACGTGTTGCTTTGGTTTTCATAACATTTATGGAAATTTAATGACTTTTAAGTCACTGTAAATAACGAAAGAGAACATTTAATCAAACTCTATCAGTGGTGTAGCTACCATAATGTGTTATATCTGGAAGTAAATTAAAGTTTTGCCGAGTAAAACAGAGCACTGATCACCCACAGACATTTTATTATCCTCTAAAAAGTTCCTTAATAACGTTAAATTTTGCCATTAAACTTTGTATTTCTGTGGACTTTTGCAGCGAACAAAACTAATAATCAGAAAAAGTCTTCATAGAAATTTAAAAAAAAAAAGGTAAAAGATGAAAGAAAGGAAAAGTCGCTCTGTTTTACTCACTACGTAGGTGGGGTGATGTAACGGAAGTAGTGTTCATTTTCGCGTGAGTTATGAATGTATAATGATCGTGAAATTTTGCAAGTACTAGGTCTTCATGTATTTGATTTATATACATAAGGTGAAACTGTTTTTTGGTTTAATTAATTATCTGTTGTAAAAAGCGCATGCAAGTTAGGCTTTATCAGTTTATTTTTCTTTTTAGTTGTAACTACATGATGAAATCCCCCTGAAATAGTCACTGAAAATAAAGAAACTGTAGATTACTTTTCCAAAGCCTTACATTCTGCGACTCCTTTTCGAAGAAATAACAGTCCCAAACAAATGTAGTTGTGCGAGGCTAAAAACTGAATCAGTCTCGTAAACAGATATCATACAAGGATTTTAAAAGTAATATTTTTTCTCTTCCCCGATTTTTTTCTTTTATTTTTATTTTCAATTTCAAATTCATCTCCTGAATATATTTATTTTTCATACCAAGTAAAAGAGATTTTTCGATCAAATCAGTGCTGTTAACGTTGCCAACATGAAAAAACCCATTCAGAATGATGTATGTTACCGTACCAGCATACGTTTGAACATACTTTCTTACTTTACCTGGCTAGCTTTACTGGTAATACATCTTTCTCGTTAGCTAGAAAGCATCAAATGAAGATAAAAGCCATTACGTACAAGCAAACGTTACAAGAGTTAAAAGCTAAAACTATCAAACATTTTCTGAAAAGGAATAGAAAGCTTTATTATATTACTCTTTTCAGGGAAAATGGACTTTAAATAATGATAAAAAAAGGCACCCTGAAAACCTGTCTGAGAGCCGTACGCGATGGACTGATAAGGGCCCAAGGAGCCGTACACGATGGACTGAGAAGGGCCCAAGGAGCCGTACGCGATGGACTGATAAGGGCCTAAGGAGCCTTACGCGATGGACTGATAAGGGCCCAAGGAGCCGTACGCGAAGGACTGATAAGGGCCCAAGGAGCCGTACGCGATGGACTGATAACGGCCCAAGGAGCCGCACGCGATGGACTGATAAGGGCCCAAGGAGCCGTATGGTTCCCGAGATGCGGGCTGAACTAGCACTTTACGAGTAGTTTTTATATGAAATGCTTATTGGCTGAGTTAAGTTGCTACTGCTGGTGCTTTTCGACACAGTGGTGGCAAAATTGCTGAAATTGATATCCTTGTCCTTTTATTTACAATTTTTCCCCTCTTAGTTGATGTTTATGGGGCGCACAATATTTCTTTTCTTAATGTGAAGGCACTCTTGTAATGATCGTCGAAATTTTGGCACCCGCCAAGCATACATAAAAGGATTTGCAATCGAAGATACGTAAAGAAAAGTGTGACTTATCAAGTCAAACCTTCGGTAGGCCATAGTTTCTCGACAACTACAGAAATTTAACAGCTGAATTTTAGTATAAAAGGGCACGAAAGAAGTACAGAACAACATCAAGATGGCAAACGAGGTCAAAGCCATTTTTCGCTCTCTCTCAAGGGCATGTCGTAGAGTCATCGTGGAGAGCGAAGTTACTAAGCGCAGGAGTTCGTTCCTTCTTGCGGAGAGTGAGCAAAAAATTCCACAATAAACAACCAGCATGACAAACACGGGAATTGTGAAATGAGTATGAGAGAACACTAATAAAATGATTGCCCAGGCTTTTCCTGCAAATGGGTAGAACGCCGTCAGCGCCGTGGCAATTCCCCAGCTAACAAAGATGTATGCTAGGACCTTTCGTTCTGTTATTCTCTCGCTGTAATGAAACGGATCGGTAACTGCTGTGTAACGGTCAAGCGCCATCGCAATAACCGTCCATATGCCGTTGATAATAGATGCTCCTCCTCCGACGTTTATGACTAAGTTAATCCATGAAGGCTGAGCCTCGTTATTATACATGAAATATCCCACCAAGACACGGCCATAACCAATAATAAGACCGACAAATAAGTCACTTAGAGATAAGTTCGCGATTAAATACGTGGCGGGTGTACGAAGACATCTCACAGGATCGGATTTGATAGTAGTGAGTAGAAGTAGATTTCCGAAAACGGTAAGTGTCGCTAAAAGGAAGTCCACAATTATCAAAGAAAGGAGATAAGAGTCGTACTCAAAATCATCCATTGCTCCTTGCAGAACACTTTGACTGCTTTTAGGAAAATTAATATCCCCACAATAACACGAAAATTAACTTATCATCATTCTGCCAGAGAAACTCTGACTAGCATTTATGTTGAGTCACCTGGTTTACAAAATTAACGAACTGAGACCCATTTCCCGTAATCTTCTTTCTCTTGTGAACACCAAATGGTAATGATAACTAACAAAAAATAATAATAAATGAAAGGTAGAATAAAGTGAAACAATCGCTGAAGAAGCACAGTTCCATGCTAATATTTTCTTTAATTTCCATTGAACCTTATTCCTCAGGTAAAAAAAAAACCCAATTATTTATTTTAGTTTTAATTAAATGTCAACATGCCGTCCCCTTTTGCTTCCTTTACCAGTATGTTATTCTAGGTAATTTCCCTACAAATAAGGTTTTACTTTTCCTCCATGCGACAACACACTTGTACTTTTGTTTAAGATTCCTTACAATAACTTAGCCTTTTTTCGCATAAAATTAATCGGTTTCTTTTAAATTTCCCACACAGGAAGTGTTATCGCATTACACAGGTTGCATAAACATCATCCCAAACTTTATTGAGGTTCGAATTATTAATCTGGTTTAAATCAATCCTATTGGTTATCGTTAAACAAAAAGGATCTCTTCTATAGCAGTATCAATATTACAGCTTCGACAAAGAAAAATAATGCGTCGGTATTTTCAGAGTACTGTTTTGTTCTATATATAACTCACCTACATACTGCCTAGAATAATAAGCTACAGCAGTAGATACCAAAGTGTCCCTGAAAAATCTCATTACGTAACAGTTTACAGACTGATAAACCAGCGGTATCATTAACATAGCTCCATAGTGGCCGTCACTTTGGCAGAGATAACATGACAGCGAAGTAAGAGACAATGACTCCAGCAATCTGTAAAGAAAAAAAAAAACAAAGTAAAACACAAATTAGCATAATTCAGCTAAAACAATAACTATCTATGTAGTCAAGCTGCTTTTAGCGGAATAGACTTACCGTCAGAGACAGGGACTTAGTAATGACCACAAGACCACCAATTGACAGACCCTGTGGGTCCCCCTGAAGGTCAAGCATAAACATCACCAACTGAAATAGAGAAAAATCTATAATTATCACGTGAAGACGAAAAACAAAGTCACCAGTTCTTTTTTCTTTTAAGCCGTTAAAGAACCCACGCGCTTATCGCAAGGCGTTGGGAACGTAGCTCCCGGTGTTGTGGTATGGCCTTGATTCCAAAAATTGGGGCTTCTGCAAAAATGTCTTTCAAAAATTGTAAACTACTCAACGCAGTCTAGCCCTAGTTTCCCGCAATCCAATGGATATGGCGCTATAGAAATCCTTTATTAGTATGATTATTATTATTGTTATTATTGTAATTATCATTATGATACCTGTTCCTATCATTATTATTATTATTATCATCATCATTACATAACTATTATTTTTATCATTTTCAATATAATAGGAAGGGGCTGAGCTGGAGGGCAGCTAAAAAACATAGACTAACTATGCTGTGTAAAGATAGGGACCAAGCTGAATCGGCCTGCCACCTATATTTATAGATGCATTTACACCCAAACTTACTCCTTTTGGATGGCAGCTAATAACTATTTGCTGTCATCGAAAGGCCTTCTGCAAGATTACAAGACATTTTGACACCGGGTTCATACAAAGATGAATGAGAAGATAAATCTTAGGTGGGAGAGGGAAAAGTTTACCTATATCGTTCAAATAAGCAATTACCTTTCCTTCGTCTTCTTTTGAAACAGGAACTGTTCGCAAAATCTTTTGAAAACTGTGAATCTACAGCATATTGGAATAACAATGACATATAATTAATTATCAAAATTAAAGAAAATAAATAAGAGCTGTACGAGACAAAAAACAAATAATGATTAAAAATATATACACGTACCCCCTCGCTCACTTTAGATCCAAACAGCATGATAATTATTAAAAAAAAGACTGACGAAAGAAGCCAGAAAAAATTATTGCCCATAAACAGATATTTGTCATCCTCAGTTTTCTCTGGTGAATTAACAGCAAGGTACGAATTGAAGCAAATCAAAGGAATATACAGAGACACCATTCCAAGGAGTAGAGGGGAGAACATCGCATCGGCCAGTTCTACAACATCGCACAGCTCGTGATGCGCCATCTTAAAAGGAGCTAGTTGAAATGTTTTTGAGTGCAGGGACTGCTGTTTCATTCGCTTACTCAAATCATCAAAAAGTTCCGCCAGTATGAGACACGTAATACAGAAAAGAAGAACTGGAAGCACCCACGCGCAAACAGATACTATCAGAAAGACGAGGGAAGCCCAGGCAAAGACAGGTGATTTATTTAAAGGCTTAAAGTCGGCAAGATTCATATCAAGCTTGAAACTGGTCATCGACGCTCCCACAATAGCGCCGGAAAATACGAGGAAAAACGCAATCATGCCATATCTTGATTTGGCTTTTACCTTATCCAGAGTAGCGTGACTCTTATGTTCGATTAAACCACGAAGGAAATTCTGAAAACGCGATTTTTTTGCTCTTGTAACTGGTGACACAATCAGGAGAATTGTTTCATTCAGTGCTCCCATAAGACACCAAATGCTGAACATTAAAGAAACATAGATCTTTTCAGGGACAAAGAAGCAACTAAGAACAGCCAAAAAGAAATTGTACCAAACGCCAGTAGCTACCAGACCACAATACATGAGTGAATCATACTCCTTCCTCGAAAAACGACCAGAATCATTTGCCAGAGATTTCAGGGTAGTATCGCCGTAGTATATTCCAAACAATTTCATCAGCTTAAGAACAGGGCTGTATATTTCGTTGACTGCCTTAAACAGGTGTTTATTCTCAATTTTTGCCTCGGGAGGAGAGCCCGTCATGTTTGAAACTCCATTCATCTTAGCTTGTTGCTCGGAAATGGAATCGGACATTCCGTTATTTAAACGCGCTGTACATTCGTTTGGAGATACTCTAGCAGACATTATCATCACAAGATGGATTCTCTATGAGTTTACAAGGAAACTTAATTATATCCTTTTGTTGTCAGCTATTGTCTTTTAATATTGTTTTCAGCGATGTCATTCTCTTTGGATTTGGCGGATCTGTATTCATATTCAAATAGGAAAATACCCACTGCGATGACTTGACATTTATTTTTTAATTAAAAGAGAGTCTTAAATCATACAAAAAAACCAATTATATTTTAAGTCCAAATAGAAACAAGAATTTAAAAGGCAAATCATGAGAAGGTAACTGGCTACTAGGAGAGAAGCTAAACGAAAAAAAAAACACCTAGGTGTTGGTATTTTATTGACAAAATAATGGTGCTTGGGAAACTGCCAGCTGTTCAAGCTGCGAGTGACACTCATCACTTATAACTTCAGCAGGCACAGTAAATAAATAGTGAAATTTCTTCAAAACATTCACATAGTTTTTTCCCCAGTTTCGCTGCCCTATAGAAGCAAGAGAAAACTTGATTAAGAAAATTAGACAAACAGCGGTGATAAACATTCTATTCCAATGCATTTATCACGCCTATTTGTCTTATTTTCTTAATCAAGCTACGATGGCCTAAGAACAAGAGTTTATAAGAGAAAACTCATTTGAGTATTAATTACGAGGCAGAAAAAGGTCAACAATGGATAGACGAAAACCCTTGTAGCAACGTGAAGCTACGTAGGATTGTCATATTTCAAGTTTGCGTAATGTTGATTTAAACCTTCCTCAGTTTTAAAATTTTCTTTTAACCTTTAAGACTAAAATTCCATGTTTGTCTAACAGTTGATTAGAAACAAAATTTTGACCACAGCAAATAAACCTACAAAGAAATGAAGCAATCAGGTTTATTACGATCTGCTCTATCTGTTATGATGCGTGCAAGAAGCGGCAATTATCAGGAATCAACGAGCTGTGAGGTCGTCGTTAATTGAGTTCTCAGAAAAATGATAAAATTTATAATTAAAATTTCGTATGAATTACACATCGTTAGAATCATTATTTAACGTACAGAAACAATTAAAAAATGAAAATAAAAGGGAGTTAAGACTAGGCTAAGCGACAACAAATATTTGATGAGCTTTGAAAAATTTTAAAATTATTGATTCTTTTTTCTTGATTAAAATTTGTTTTTCTCCTTTTCTTTTCTTTGTTTTGTTTTTTTTTTGTTTTTCTCGGGTGTGAGTTTGAACTTTTACAATTTCCCAATTTATTTGCTATATTTCCTTTATTGGAATTTATATTGAAATTTCTACAAAACCGTTTGTTTTTTTTCTCCTTTATTCTTTCTAAAAAAGCCGAGACGTCTACGCAAAAAAAGTTTGTTCGTGAAAAGATTTTCTCTGCCAAGGCTCTAACTTTAAGACTGTTGGCAAAGCAAGTCAATTTTTGGACAAGGAATGTCCTCATTCTGGTAACATGCTGGTTTTTCAATTACTTTTTCAGGGAAAACGAGCCAAGGTAAAAAAATCAATGAGTGGAATCTGCCATCATCAATGACTGTTTTTATATCCCACCGTGTAAGAATCGTTATTTAAATAACATGGTATCTCACAAACAACAAATTAAAATTACAAAACCAAAATCCAGACTAAAATTCAAAATCAAGTACACTAGTAGCTGTAGTTACCTCGAACACAGAGCAAAAAAGTACTAAATGTTACCGCGACATAATCAAAATTTTCAGTAATATTGTAATAACTCCCCGATGGAAGTCTGAAAATCGTCACATTTTTAATGCATTTCGCATTTCTTAATAGCTATAAACAGTGTCACATCTTTCAAACGTCAACGCGGCAAAGATAAGAGAACTGCAAAGTAGGAGACTGTCACCCCGGCAATCTGAAATGTGAAGTAGATTAGAGCAGTGAATTTGTACAGAATTTTTAGATGTTCAATTAAGTTGAATCGCAGTTTGATCATGAACAAAAGGAAACTGGTGCGTATGATGCACGATCCTCGCAGTAGAAAGTGCTATTTATGCAAAATAATAGCGAAAATCAGACCTAAAAAAAATCAGGCCTGTACGGGATTCGAACCACTGACCTCTGCGATACTAGTGCGGCGCTCTACCAATTGAGCTAACAAGCCAACTGGGAGCAGGCCGGCTTCGTATATTGGACTTCATATATTCGTAACCAAAAGGAAACTGGGTATGATGAGCAAAAATTTAATAGCTTACCGCCAAGGACGTGGATTTGGTTATTACAAGTAATCCTCCAATTGATAAACCTTTTGGCTCTCCTTGAAGATCGAGTAAAAACAACAATACCTGGAACAAATGGAATGGGAAAGACAAGAGTTACGGCAAAATTATAGGAATGGAGAGGCTGTACATAAAAGATTTGCCTTTAGTTTGCGAATAGGAAATATAGGCGTTGGAAAACAAAAGCATTAAAACTAAAGTCACCTTAGCTTCTTCCGCTGTCGAAACGGGCAGAGTTTGCAAAATCCTCTGAAAACTGTGAATCTAGAAAAAAACTCTTGAAATCATGAAAGGAATTATTACACGCATGCACATGCACATACACAGGTAAATAATGAAAACAAAGAAACAACGACCTAGTGTATACTCACTATCGTTACGAGGAAAAAATAAGAATTCAAAATATTTAAAAGATAGAATAATCAACGATTTAAACATCTCCTCAACACACCTTTTCATTGACTTTGGATCCAAAGTAGAGGGCAATTGTCAAGATTCCTGCTGCAACCAAACACCAGGACAGAGTAGTAACAAGGGCCATTAAATTTGTGTCCTCTCGGAAAACGACAGAATTGTAGAAACTAATGCAAAGCATTGGGATGTATAATGACACAACCCCAAGAAGGAGTGGAGAGAGCATCTTGTCGGCAAGTTCCACTACCTCGCATAACTTATGATGCTCTATTTTCAAAGATGGAAAGTCCGCTGAGAGCTGAGTTAGTGACGACATTCTCTGATAAAGCTCATCAAAACATTTTATAAGGATTCTACAGGTTAGATATAAGAAATACATCGAGAGTAACCACAAAGCACTCCCAGTAAATAGAGATATCTGGGCAATCACTTGAAAGCCAAACCAACCATTCCAAGGCTTACAACAAGCAAGGCCAAGGTTCAATTTTTGATCGCTAATAACAGAGAACGTGACAGTTTCCACATAAAGTAAACAGAGAACTATAAAGCCTTTTCTTGACTTTTTTTTCACTGAATTTAGATTAACACCCTGACTGTTTGCTAATATGCTAAGAAGATATTTTTGGAATCGTGACTTTTTGGCGAGAGTTAAAGGAAGAACAACCAGTAAGGGTATTCCACAGATTAATATTAAAAGGTTACCAAGAGTGAACATCAAAAACACGAATTCTGCCCCTGAAGTAAAAATTCCGGAGACAGCCATGACAAAGTTTAAAAAATCAAGGGATATCATCAGACCACAATACATTTGTGAACATAGATCCTTTCCTCGTGGACTGTTTGGTGAGTATCCCAATTTTTTTAAATCGGTTTGTCCGTAGTACGCTCCGAAAAACTTCAACAACTTCAGCACAGGGCTGTATAATTCGTTCAATGACTTTAAAGCCTGCTCATTGCCAGTCACGTCCCCAGAGATTGAAACGACAAACGCACTAGATGCACTCCTTTGACGAGAATGGAGTGACCCGGGCTCCTCTTGTGTACTTGCTATTTGAGAAGACATAGTTTTGTCAATTGAAGGTAATTCAGTCCAAAATGCAGTCGATTCCAAAGAAATGTATCCAACTGTATTTCTATATGCAACCAGTGTTCTTAAAATCTGCTGGAGTATACAGCTAAATAGAAAAGTAGTACTTTTCCCAACATGCCCTGAGCGAGCTGCAGAGTTTTTCAATCGTCAAATAGTTGCTATGGAAGCAACGAATAAAATTACAATCGACAGCCAGAATTGGAAAAGTTTAAAAACAAAACAAGGAGATTTAGCTCCTTCAGCTGTGTAGTCCCATATTGAGCCGAATGAAATAGGAAAGAAATTCTACAAGAGAAAAAAGGACCCATAATTGACTCATTTCTATCACTTTTCTCTCAGGCTGCGTGGACTATGTCAAAACAAATTGTTCACTTATAGCCTGATAGGATTTGGTCTTGTCTGTTGATAAGAATAGTGATGACATTACCTAGTCAGGCGTATCGCTCATTTGCATTTTTCTAACGTCAAATTATTCCTTTCGACTTTTCTGTTTCGCTGAGTATCCTCTATACTCTTTCTAAGAAGTATTTTCGCTACAAGTTTTTAGGCTAGCGAAAGGCATCGGCTTTTAACGCCCAAGCGAAAAAGATATTGTTTTAATTTTTTCTTTGTTTTCTAAGATAATTATTTAGAAGAGTATCAAACTGAAATTTAGTACCTCTTGCTCTAAATATCTAACACTGAGGCCGTTTACCCTTTCCACGTTTAACTACGGGTTACAAAGAAAATTAAAATGCTTAGCGTTTTTTTGTGTGTGTGTGTGTGTTCAAACGAATTTAACCCTGTCTAGTGAGGGCTAATGCGTTTTTGACGATAGTTGGTCGAGTGATGACAAATAAACAGCGATCAAATTTTATGTACTGAATTGAAATGCAAATCACCTTACAATAGCCTGGAAGAGTTTTTGATAAAGAGCAATATTTTGCAGGCGGATATCTTCCAGAAAATTGACATGATCAAATTTCCATGTTGATTGTTCCTTATAATTTATATACTGTTAGCTTCACAATTGGGAAGGGGATTTGCCACCATACTTGCACAGTTATATGGCAATCCTCTAATGAACGAAAAATAAGCGAGCTGTAATAAAAATTAACATCGATGACATGAGCAATGCCGTGAGAGAGACCACGATCAAACCAGTAATTAAACGTTGATGTCATTCTCCATTATCCACAGTTAATTACACGCGGTTTAGGAACTTAAAATGCATAATTTCCTTTTTTCTGAAAAGAAGATGAAATTGATTTAATCCCAACCTGCTGAGTGTTAATGCGTTTCCTAAGATGTTTATTTGTACAGTGAAGGCGAACAAAGTTTAATCAAATTCTACAGGTGAAGGTAGATGCAAACTACCTGATTATTTCAGGGGCGTTGAAGAGTTTTTTTTTGGCCGGCAATGTACGACCTGCAAGCTTACGTGATACGCACGTGATAGATATGCTGCTTCGAAATTGTGGAACGCTACACCAGACGAGTCTCGGAAGATTTAAACATACACCGCTTTTAAAGATAACTTAAAACGTTCACTTCACGGGACTGACTCTTTTTCTTTGTGCTAGTTCACTTCTTCATTTGTTTTTGCTTCTCTGTGTGCGTGTGTGTTAACTTCTGGCTTGTTATATCTGTATGTTTTTTATTTTTAGTATTTTGACTTCGTTCATTCTCACTTAGTTGAATTTGTGACTTTTATTTGTTTGATCTTTTTTTGTGTGTGCTGTGCGTGTGTGCTGTGCGTGTGTGCTGTGCGTGTGTAATGTGCGTGTGTGTGTACGTGTGTATGTGTGTGTGGTGAGCATGTGTGTGTGGTGAGCATGTGTGTGTGTGTGTGTGTGTGTGTAAAGAAATTGATAAAGGCTGAAAGTTTATAAGGAAACTGTGGTGCTGCGTCGGTGGGGGTAACAAGGTAATTTGGTTATATCAGCTAAGCTGAAATTGTAAATTGGCCACCGTAACAATTAAAAAAGCTGACGTCTCGAGCGAGACGAAAGAGAAATTGGACCCATGCGTTTACTAGTAAGTAAACTTTATTTAAACAGGGTAGCCCATTCAGCTCAAAGGCTGTTATCCAGAGGGGCCCTGAAAAAAATACAACTATATGACATTCAAAATACAAGTACAAATATTAATATATATATAAAGATATTAATATTTAAAAAGTTTAAAAAATTGCGAGGATGGACAACTTCTGACGTAAAAAATATAAAAAAATTTAATAAAAAACGTTTCGGTTAGAGGCCTTCTTCAGTTATTTACAACTTTTGAAATAAAAAAAAGAGCATTAAATAGGATCGAAGTGCTAATTATTACGTAACTGCAGATAACGACTAATGAACAGGTGCTAATAAACAAAAAACCTTATTACAAAGAAAGCAAAGGACAAAATATAAGAAACAAACCCTAAAATTCAAAATACAATATATATTAATATATAGATAGAACGTTTAAAAAATTGCAAGGATGGACAGCTTCTGACGTAAAAAATATAAAAATTTTTTATAAAAAACGTTTCGGTCAGAGACCTTCACTTATTCACAGTTATTTATTTTTAAAGGTAAATAACTGAAGAAGGTCTCTGACCGAAACGTTTTTTATTAAATTTTTTTATATTTTTTACCTCAGAAGTTGTCCATCCTCGCAATTTTTAAACCTTTCTACGTTCGTGTTGGCTGTGAGGTTTGGACTGCGAATCTTTATTGATCCTCCTGGCGCGGTGCACCTTTGTTGGCCTGCGAGTTCCATTAACGACTTGCTATATGTATATATATGTATATATTAATATNTTTAAAAAATTGCGAGGATGGACAACTTCTGACGTAAAAAATATAAAGAAATTTAATAAAAAACGTTTCGGTTAGAGGCCTTCTTCAGTTATTTACAACTTTTGAAAAAAAAAAAGAGCATTAAATAGGATCGAAGTGCTAATTATTACGTAACTGCAGATAACGACTAATGAACCGGTGCTAATAAACAAAAAAACCTTATTACAAAGAAAGCAAAGGGCAAAATATAAGAAACAAACCCTAAAATTCAAAATACAATATATATTAATATATAGATAGAAAGTTTAAAAAATTGCAAGGATGGACAACTTCTGACGTAAAAAATATAAAAATTTTAATAAAAAACGTTTCGGTCAGAGACCTTCAGTTATTCACTTTTAAAGGTAAATAACTGAAGAAGGTCTCTGACCGAAACGTTTTTTATTAAATTTTTTTATATTTTTTACCTCAGAAGTTGTCCATCCTCGCAATTTTTAAACCTTTCTGCGTTCGTGTTGGCTGTGAGGTTTGGACTGCGAATCTTTATTGATCCTCCTGGCGCGGTGCACCTTTGTTGGCCTGCGAGTTCCATTAACGACTTGCTATATGTATATATATGTATATATTAATATATATATATATATATACACACACACATATATATACATATATATTATTTTACTAAAGTTTTACTAAAATACTGCCTTTTCCTAACCCTGACCCAAAGTATTTAAATAATGTAATATAATATTACATTACTAAATAAAGTCAATAATACTAATGCTGCTTATAATCCTAAAATGTTAGACCGCTACTAAATTAAAAAAGAAATTCCTAGCCAATCGAGAGAAGGTTTGCAGATTGCCAGTGTTCACGAGGCTTGAAGGAAGGTCATTAAACAATTTAGCACCGCTATAGATAAAATAGCTTTTCCCAAAGCTGAAAATATTTCCATAAGGGTCTTGTACTCCTTTAATATGGTGATCACTAGACTTTCCACATGGATCGTGGATGGGTGCCATGGAGTCTGTGCAGATATTGAAATAATAAAACACGAGCTTCTTGAACTCTTGTCAGCTCTCAGCCTTACACCATATTTCTTAAACGCAAGTCTAACTGGCACAATATCAACGAATTTTTGAGACAAATCCTTTATCATTCTACAAGTAATGTCTCCTCTAAGTGTTTCGGTTAAACTACCTCCAGACGGCATGCACGCAATCTAGTTATTGATGTTGGATTTGACGAGGAATTCACTTCCCACCAACTTTCAAAGACTGAAATTCATAGCCCCAAAATCCGTCGCACTTAGAGGCACCTTTGTTAATGTTGGGGTTTGCACCTTCAGTGAAGGCCAGTAAGGGATTGGAGTTACTGCATTGGTATCACTCAGTAAATTGTTGTAACCAGGGAAAGTATAACTGTAAACAAGCGTCCAGCCGCCACCGTCAGTTTCCATATCACAATACGCCTAGAAAGCATTTACATCATCAGCGGTACCCTCATCTGAGTCAATCTAGCAAACTTCTGTCGGATAACTCGGCATTAGGTGCTTAACCTCCATGCAAGATTTGACGGCAGTAGTGTTTTTCATGCCTATAGCTGAAACAGAAGAATGCGTATATCAGTAAGATTTTTTTTTTATTTACTTAGCACTTTTATATGGCTCAGTGGTAGTACATTTCTTCATCAGTATACCTTTAACATCCTAGAGTAAACTTTCGTGCAATACCCAGTTATCTGTGCACCATAATTATAAAGGGATCGCATCTCAGGCTTTAGCTAACCCTCGAAACACTCACATATGTCTGCAAATTTTCTTACTGTTCTCAATTCACTTCCTAAGGTGCTGACAAAGAGAATTCAGTTGCTCATTGAACAATCGATAGTTTCTTTATTTGGTCATCATTTTCTTTATTCTCATAATAACAAATGCAATCGAACCTTCGCAGTTTCCTTGTGTAAATCCAGGCTTATAAAAGCATCTTTCTCCGTTGGAACTGCCGCGACGGCATGCAGCATATGAAGGGCAGAAAGTATCACCACATATTTCCTGTTAAAAAGAGTAATTAACTTGTTCAACACCAGATGAGGTAAAGCCTTTATCGTCTGTTCTTCCTTTTTGTCTCACTGTCGTTTATTTTTGTTCCTAGGCTTATGGGTTGGTAAGTTCGGCAAACTTTGAAGAATAAAGCCCACTGCGATAAAATGCAAAGACTGTATTTTGAAATGAAACCTATATTCTGTATTAAAATAGAAAAAAACAATGATTGATACTGATGACCTATTGTTAGAACTGGCTGCTCGTTTATATACATATGATTTTAACTCCTTTTATTAATTTTGGGCGAGGTGCAATATAGTAACAAGGAGAAGAACAGCAGTTCCAGAGTAGGTAAAGCTTAAAGTTCTAGCAGATGTTCAAACAAAAACTAATTATCACCGCTAACCACCAACACTGAGGTGAATAGTTGTCTTAGTACATACTAAAACAGTAAGATAATATACACCACTATCGTTGATTGGTGGAATTTCTTCGCTTGTCACGATGCAAACTGGGACTCCATTTCTTCCCGAGTTGCTCGGAAGTAAATAGCAAAGGATATTCGGAGATCGACTAGCCAATCAGAGTGCGCCTTCAACAATATCCCTTGTTTTAGTATATGATGATTATTTCACCGAGTGACTATAGCATTCGGGTGGCTACGACAACCCCAAAGGTATTCAATTTGTAACTGCATATTTGATGAGGATTTTCACAGTCACTTTCACAGGGTGTCTTAATTTGTTTCCTTTTAATTTCTCATTGAGAGATTTTAATCTTAGCAAGGTTGTAATAGTGACTCGTGTGGCCATGAAGCACGAATGTAATAATAATAATAATAATAATAATAATAATAATAAACAATCTTTAAGGAGGAAGAGCCCTTCACGCAAATACGCGGTTTTCAGGGAGGTCCTCCGTAAAAATAGAAAGTATTAAAAGCTAAAATAAGAAATACAATTGACAGAGATCTAAAACGGCGTATCTAAAGTTTATCCATCATTTAAAGTATTTATCCATTAAGAATCTCAGTTGTAAGGTTTTCCTTAAAATTGTGCATGGCATTGGCCTTCTTAAAAATACTGGGAGGGACATCCAGTCAATGTAGATTTTAAAGAAACAGTAGCACTGGATAAGCCCTAGATACCAAAATTTAAATATATTGAAAGAGAAATGATCCTGAACATTCATTTGGTTTGCCTTTAGCCAAACAAAAACCATAGATAAAGCAATCAAAAAATTGTGCAAACTTCTACAGTAAATGAAAATAAATCACAGATTGAATTGCGAAGTCATAAACTTCGTCGAACACAAATAATTACTTCATACATATAAATATTAGGGCTCACTAAGCCCCGCAAATAAACTATTTGAATATAAAGAAATAGAAATGTTCCTGAATTTTCAATTCGGTTTGCATTTACAGATGCAAGCACCACAAAACAAAACAATGATACAAACTTCAATAAAATTGATATATATATATATATTGTGGGAGGAAAAAGACAAGTAAACTACAAGTTCATCCCTACAAGCCTCTTTCGTGGTCGCCCACTCATCAGGGGATTTAATGAGAATAAACTTTACCATTGCTTATATACAATATAATTTGCATGATCTAACTAGTCTAATTTATGCAGCGCGAAATTGACAGTTTAGTTGTTGCGTAGGAGGGCTTTACTTCTGTGGCGGCATGAAGACACGAGTTCATTACGTTTGTTTAGTGTTGATAGTTCGGGCCGGCAGATGATTAGGAATTTTTCTTTGAGGCAGAGGTTGCATCTTTTTGTTGAGCTGTTATACGGTGAGTGCGATGAGAGAATGCGCCAGGAAGTAAAGTGATCGATGTTGTTGTCTTTGAGGGTCCAGATGTGCTTGCTGAGTTCGGTAGAGTTTCTGTGTTTAGCGTGGCGGAATGATGCGGTGTGGTTTCTGTATCTTGTTTTGAAGTCATTCTCTGTGAGTCCGATGTACGTTTCTGTCGTGTTGTTGTCTTTGCGTGTAACGGAGGCTTGGTAGATTACTGATGGTTGCAGGCAGTTTCCGTCGAGCGGGCATGTGTTCTTTTGTCGGCAGTTGCATGTCTTGTTGTTATCAATGGTAGTGGCGGTGGCGG